CGCGCGGCTATACTGTTTAAATGTACTTGAATATTTTAAATGTACAGCCGTGCGGCTATACTGTTTAAATATACTCGAATATTTAAAATACAGCCGTACGGCTATACTCATTAAATATATCAGAATATTTTTAAAAAGTAAAAGTGGTGAATTCTTTATACGGGTAATAAATATGGAAAAGTAAAAAATGAAAAGGGGACAATAGAGACTCGGGTATTGACAAAATAGTAATGGATAATGCTCTAAAATACTCTTATCGATAAACGAAAAATCGGGGAAAAAATTTAAAAGAAGAAAAGGATCTTCAAAATATATATAAAGAGTATAGCCGAGCGGCTATACTACTTTAAAAAAATTAGAAATAACAGAGTATAGCCGGTCGGCTATACTATTTAAAAAAAAAAATTGAAGTAAACCGAGCAGACAAATGAGTAACCAGCAGCTGGAGGCCATGATCTTTCTCCCAGAGAGACCTGAATTGAAGCATGACCAATCTTGCTCATGTCCATTGCTACAAATGGTGCCAGAGAAATATTTTCTGAATCCTCCATGAGAATTAACCTTTCCATCATGTCAACAAGTATACGACCCGACTTCATCAGCCTAATTTGCAACACATAACGAATAAGCATTCGAAGTTCTGATGCAACTACTGTGGACAGTAAAGACTTGAGTACAAAGAGTGAAAGAGCCAACGCAACTACTGTCACAGAAACCCTTGCAATTGATCTTGGCACAGAATCCTACCAAGCACCCAAACACAAAACGCAAACAGAAAATCAAAAATCTTCAATCTGTACTAAAAGCATTGAAATTGCTCAATCGGTAAAAGTTTGAAAGGGTAGACTAAACAGAACTTATCATCACAAGATTGGTTCCTGCCTCAATTCCATCTCTCCCAACCTTCCAAACTGTTTGTACAACTATTTTACACAATTCATACCAGTAGTCAACACAAAAGTAAACATAAAACTCAAGGGTAACTATTTGCTCTCTTGTATGAGCAGGACAGCAGCAAAAGTAATTCATGTGATGCAGAAAGGTAGAAACACTGTGAATTGGATGTAAACAACCAATGTCGTCCCCATTATAATGTAACTCAAAATCTGAACCAGAAAATTAAAATCTTGTCCTAACAATTCAAAATTCTGACTCAATATTAGCCTGCATGAAAGGGTCGTACTTGAAAAGACTTCTTGGCCTACTTTTCATGCATAAGAAAAACAAATTTAAAATAACGAAAATTGCCCTGAGAAAATCACACTTGCTGACATGGCAGCACGTCAGCTAGGTTTCACCCACCAAATGGTAAGTTCCCATGGATTATGGTATGGATGATTAGCCAGTTCTCTCAACTACCCGATTAACAGGTGATCACTCTTTAATGTAAGAAGATTCAAGCTTTTCTGAACGGTTCCATTCTAGTTACAGCTTCACTGCTTCTACAAAAGCGCCTTTTCCTTTCGTGCCTGATTGAAATCTCTACAATAGCTTTTTTATTTTTTGAGGCCAATCATTTACAATTTCATTCCACTAACCACTAATCACCGGAGTTCCAAAGCACTGAATTGAAATCCACAATCAATGTTAAAAATCGCTAGGCGGTAGGCGGGCGCCTAGGCGTTTTCTTTAATTTATAATTATTTTGTATTAATCGCGGCCTGGTGGTGGTCACCGCGGGTGGAGGCCTGGTGGTGGTGGTCTGTCGTGAGAGAGAGAGAGAGAGAGAGAGAGAGAGAGAGAGAGAAAGAGGCACCAGGCCGCCTAACTCCCGCCTAGCCGCCTAGGTGGCCGCCTAGGCGGATTTTTCGAACACTCGACAATTTAACGTTAAAAATTGTCACAATCTAACAGAAATTAACATGCTTTCGACAGATATTCACCAATACAATGCTATTCAGTTGCAAAAATACCTTTTTATCAAAATCCAAAAACCAAAAATATAAAAACACGATTCAAAAAATAGCAAATTCGACAAACCCACTAAACAACAATGTTCAGGGATCATAAATACTAATCAGAAGAAGAAGAAGAAGACGAAGAAACGCAGGGAAGTGCAGCTAACCTTTTAAGAAATTGGACTGTGCAGCGAACACAACCGGAACAGAGCGATATCTGAGAAACATTGCATTGTAGAGTATCCAGTCTCATTGTCTTTTGAGAGAATGGACAAGGTCGTAGACTTTAAAGTTTTCAGATGCATATGCTGAATTGGTACTTTTGGTCACAATATCAGAGCTTGTTTTTGCTTTGAGCAGTGGAGACGTGATATATTACTGGATTTCTAATTGTAGCCGCGCGGCTATACTGATAAAATTTTCGAATATATTCGGAGAGTATAGCCCCGCGCCTATACTGTTTAAATATCATATTTTATAGGTATAGTATTCGGATAGTATAGCCGCGCGGCTATACTTTTTAACTGTAATATTTTAAGAGTACAGCCGCCCGGCTATACTGTTAAGATATTCGAATATATTCAAAGTGTATAGCCGCGGCTACTAGACCCTTCAATTGCCACCACATATATAACAAACCTTTTTATACAAAATTAACAAAGTCCCACCACCCTTAATTGCTAAAACTCAATTCCCACAATGAGAATTGGAAAGAGAAAGTAAATAATTCCAATACAAGACGCAATTCCTACCTGTATGCCCCAAGAACTTCCACAATCTCCAGAGCATATTTAAGTATTGGGGATGAGCTCAATAAGGCTCAGCACTTCAAGATGCATCTTTGGAGTAAAGAGCAGTAATGAACGAATAAGAACTCTAACAGCACCAGCATTGAACACTCGTTCCTTGTCAGGATGAAATGAACCTGATGTAGTAATTATTGAAAAACTTGATGAATTATTATCAAGAACATCAGGGGATGTAACACTTTCTGATGTCAAGAATGGTGGAAGCACGATTTCAGGGGATTTTACCCAACATTAAATAAGTTCACAAACCTGGGTACCATCTTCAATGATCAAACATGACAGCACCCTAAGCACCCTTGAACGGTGCATATCAGACACAAGAAAAGGGAGAACCGCAGTTACAACATTAGCCAAACTGATTAGTTTCCGCTTTCTTTAATAATGAGACCATACAATCCCACTCCATAGCAACTGTACCATCAACTTCAAATATAGGAAGCTTCCCTGAACCAGATTCCATAAGTCTGGGTGATGGAATTTAAAAGAAGTAAAGGATCCTCAAAATATATATAAAGCGTATAGCCGGCCGGCTATACTATTTTAAAAAAATTATAAAAGACCGAGTATAGCCGTGCGGCTATACTATTTATTAAAAAATAGCTAAAAACGCGCGGCTATACTACATAAAATATAGGATTATTCGCAGCAATGGTCCCTCAACTATACCACAAGTTACACTTTGGTCACTCAACCCAAATATTAGTTGCAGAGGTCACTCAATTAGGTTTTTTGTTGCACCGTTAGTCCTACCGTCAAGTCTCTCTAACGGTAGAGACTAATGGTGCAACACAACACCTAATTGAGTGACCAAAATGTAACTCCGAGTATAATTGAGGGATCATTGCTACAAATAATCTTAACTGAAAAGTCACATTTGCCCATCAATAATCTAAGAGATACTTGCCACGTCATCATTTTAAACAGAAAAAGTAACAGACTTGATGGTAAGACTAACAGTGCAACAAAACACCCAATTGAGTGACCTCTGCAACTAATATTTGAGTTGAGTGATCAAAGTGTAACTTGAGGTATAGTTGAGGGGCCATTGCTGCGAATAACCCTAAAATATATTAATGGTTAAATAGTATAGCCAAGCGGCTATACGCGTTGAATATATTTGAATATTTTAAAAGTATAGCCGCCCGGATATAAATATATCAGAATTTTTTTTAAGTATAGCCGCGCGGCTATACGCTTCAAATATATTCGAATATTTTGAGAGTATAGCCGCTCGGCTGTACGTTTAAATCTTAGCTTTTTTAAATACTAATCTATCTATCTATATATATAAAGCAAAAGGAAGAGAATGGTGAAACATTCAAAAACCCCGAAAATGCCCTTGGTTAATTCAAACATTAAGAATTAAAATTATTAATTAAATGAGGATAATATGGTAAATTCACAATTATAAAATTAAAATTAAAAACAAAATCAGATAATGGATCCTACTTTTATGGAAAATAACTCCCCATTTTTTCTTTTATTAATTCTAAAAACAAAACAAAAACAAAAAACCAATTGGCACACGCGTGAGGGTGTGGCAAGGGGCTAGTTATTTATTAAATAAATAATAATTAAAATATAATTACTAATTAAAGCAGTGATTAGCTCCTTGAAGGCTTTGCCAAAGTTGGACACTACAGATATGACCAAGTCAGTTGACTGATCGGTAAGAAATAACTGGGTTTAAATTTTTCGTTGTTGGGGCCTCTCCCAATTGAAGTGCTAAAATGATCTCAAAAGAATGGTAAACAAAAGAGAGAATTGCATAAACCCACGACAAATAAACCACACGACAAATTGATTGAGCATTCAACAAATTAATATTTGAGGCATCATTATCTCTTGTGCCTGAGATAGAATTAATTCGTTTCTGCTTTGCTTATGGTCAGGTCAATTTGAGAAATACTTCATGCCTACTGAGCTAGTACATTCAAATCATGCTCAATCATAGTGCAAAGTAGCTTTCTGCCTTTTTCTCAAGCAGGCCTGTTGTATATATTCTCATATAATATAGTCATATACAGTCCCAGTAGGGCAACACATGCAAGGATTGTTATTATGGCATTTTCTTTGTGTCCTTTGTAGTACTACTGCTAGTGGTAGTTGGACTGAAACGTTACAAACTTAAAAAACATTTACTCATTTGTGTTACATTCGAGACAAGGTCTCTTAGTTGAATTTTGATCCGAATGACGAGAAAAACTTAGTTATATTATATATGTGCATCTCTCTTAAACAACATACACCCGTTTCATGTAAGTTTTTCTCGTATACAATCATACTCTAATAGTTGAAAATGAAACGGAAAGGAAAATTTGTGTGTTGAAGTGTTTGAAATGTGCTAAGTAAGTTTGCCTTATTTAGCTGAAGTTTCAAAAGTTACCGAGAAAAAGAGAGAACAAGATAGTTATTATGAATTTATAAGAAGAAAAAAAAAAGATTAATCAAGGAAAATGAGGAAGCTTAAACTCTGTTGTAGCCAACCGTCTTGCTGAACAGATTGCGGATGTACACCACTTGAAGGGCACTTGCAGCAGCAAACACAATGTACTCTGCAAGTGTGAAGTAGATCACACGTTTTTTGGTGCTAACATTTGCTGTTAAGGGCACAAAACCAAGATTACGTTAATTAAGAAAGAAACCACGATAATTAGAAACGTTGTTAGAAAATGTAGGTTGTTTTATTTGCGATTAAGAGAGAGAGAGAGAGAGAGAGAGAGAGAGAGAGAGAGAGCTAGCAAAGGGGCAGATGAGGCTTACTATATCGATGCCTGGCATCTCGTGCTTTAAGGTACTTTTGCTCTGTTGTTATAGACTCCAATGCCTCCCTCAGCTCAGCAATCTTGATATTAAGAGGGTCCATATGTTCTGCAACAAAAATAGAAAAGACAAAGATCATATGGTCTCCTAGTGTTCATATTTTTGCTACCATGGTACAAAAAGCACGTTGAACTAACTCACCGTCTTTAGCCAAGTCATGTTCATTTGGGATGTGGCCAACATGGATGTAGAAAGATACAGTCTCCGGAGTTGAAACCGGATTGCGAAAACAGAACTTGTAGATTCCACTCTGCGGCGCCTTGAACTCAAACTTATCCCCCGATGTTCCTTTTAGAGAGAACACTGTGGTACCTCCAGGAGTCTTCACCTGCATAAACCACGCAAAAGTTGCACATCCATTTGAAAACAAATCGTGCATATTTTTTTATATGAACTCAATTATTAACCAATGCTCCTGATTTGATTCACAGTTTGACAACATACCTGATTTGATTCATAGTTTGACAACATAACGTGTCAGATTATTTAGCAATTAAAATAGTGTGATTTTTCAATATAAAGTACATGCAAATGCCCCATAATGGAATTTCAACAAACACATTAGAAGAAAATGATAGAAATGGGTGACAGGAAGCTTACAGTGAAATCGATACCGGGATGATCAGAACTCCAGAAGATGTCATGGTCGATAGCAACAAAGTTTCCGGAGATGGTATCTCCCTCATACAAAACTTGCTCGGAGACACATTCCAAATCTGTTACAGTGATTGAAAGAGCAGTAGCAAAATTCCCATTGCCAATGAGGCTTATAAGAAAACCATATGCTACGTAAATCTTCCTGTACGAAAATCTCTTTCTTGTCTCCATTTTGATCTTTGCCCTGAAATTCAATTCACCATTGCACTGAATCTTGGAAGAGAGAGAGAGAGGGAGAGAGAGGGAGAGAGAGAGAGAGAGAGAGGGAGAGAGAGTGTGTGTGCGGGTGTGTGTTTCCTAAAATGGGAAATAAAAAAGGCTCAAATTTCGGTTAACTCGTTATGATCCGTTGGTTCCCTCCATGATGGTTGACCCACTGGGCTTTCTTTTGGGCCTGGAACTTGGGCTTACCTTCCTACCTCATTAAAATTATTTTTCATTATTTTTTATTTTTTTAAAATAAATTTATTTGCTATGTCTCTCTGCTCTGGTTTGTAACCGAAGCTCAGTGAGAACAGCAATGGGGGAGTCTCTGCAAATTCAGAGGTTGGAGGAAGCTCCTTCGGCCAGAGACTTCGAGTCTCGGATCGAATCCACGAACGTTCCCACCGTAAGTTTCTTGTTATTTCACATAATAAACTACAAATTTCTTCGCGCCCTTCTTATTCACAAGCATTGCTGGCTCTCACTTGCTCTGCGTGTTCTTGCTTTCTTCTTCTCAATAGGTTTTCAGTGGCTGCGTTAAGGATTGGAAAGCTTTCTCCATGTGGAATCCATCGAATGGCGGCCTCGACTATTTGCAGGTTTCTCTGTTTTTTTTCAGTTTATTTTTCTTCTTCAAGTCTGCTTCGTTTTCTAAATTTGAGTAACTTAGGAACTGTGTAGTTAAAATAGCTTTGTTCGAAAAATCGGCCTAGGCGGCGCCTAGGCGCTAGGCGGGTCGGGTCCTTTTTTTCCTGACTTTAAAGAACCTCACGCTGCCTCTCTCTCCTCTGAGCCGTCGCCTCCTTCTTTCTCTCTCTCTCTCTCTCTCACGATGGGCCACCACCACCAGGCCTCCACCCTGGGACGACCACCACCAGGCCGCGACCCGCGACCCGAGAGCACCAGCCTTCCGCGTAACGTATTTGAAATACATATTATGATGTACTAAACCAGTAACCGGTTCTTTCTCCTGAATTATGCTTCAAGGAGCTAGCTGCTGCTGCATAATATTTTCTGGGATCAGCTATTATTTTTGTTTCGGTTTCTAGTCATGTGCTCATTGCATGTACTATTGACTTCTTTCCTTTAACTGAATTGAATTTTGTGCTTGAAATCATTCTGATGAATGCAAAACTAGGAACGAGTCGGATTGTGTGTTGTGGAGGCTATGCTATCTAGTTCTGCACCTGTCTTCTACGGTGATCTTAGAAGCCATGAGAGGGTAATCTATATGGTGTTTGCTAATGGTCTGGAGCTTTGAATTTTTGTCTCTTCTGGATCTCATTGGGCCTAACTAGTTTATTACCCCTTCCTTTTGTAGGTACCGCTGCCATTTTCTGCCTTCATTGGTATATGTAAGCAAAGCATGCGTCATTCTGAGGATGGTTCTGGTGCTTGTTTTGAAGCAGAACAGCGTGGACTACTGGACCCTGCATCTGAGTATGACCGTAAGCCCTATGAGGATGCTCCTCAACAAATATATTTAGCACAGGTTTAACATTCAAAGGCTTTAAGATGATGGATATCTTTGTGTTTAAGTATAATCTATTTTCTTTTCATTAATGTTGTTAATGCCATGCCTATGATTGGTCATTTTAGGATACTTTTGTTCCTTATTTGGATGAATATTTTTTAGGATGTACTTTATTTAGTATGTTAAGACGTTTTAGGTTTGTTTGAAGGGTAATGGTCTCACATCTTTGGGATGTAACTTTTGTCATGTGTGATTCAGGTACCAATAATCAATACTGAAAATGAAGAGAGGGTTCAATTAGAATCTTTGAGGGAGGATATCCAAACGGTTTGTGAATTTCCTGTACTAGTCCTTACTGCTTACTCTACAGGCTACCACTAAAGAATCCTTTTCTACATCCTTGATTTCTAATGAACACCAGTTGTTTTCTGTAGCCTGTATTTTTGGAGGATAAAGTACTAGCTTCTACAAACCTGTGGATGAACAATGCTCAAGCTAGATCAAGCACTCACTATGATCCACACCATAATCTTCTCTGCGTAGTTTCTGGCTGCAAACAAGGTCAAATCACTTTCTATGGCCCTCTTACTGCATCGGGTCTTTTCCAACTTCAGATTCACTAGGTTTTGTATATTACCGGTGCTCTTTGTTCACGGAATGATTAGATGCAAAGAAAGAGAAGTGATCTTTGTTTTTATAGTTTACTTGCATCCCTAGAAAAGTGATTGTTTAGCTTTACTCTTGTAAGGCCACAAATTTAAGGATTACTTCTGTAGGGAAAACTTGGTTTGAAGTTGCATGCAATTTTTGTCTAAAATAGAGTTTCTTTCTTCTTATTTAATAATTTTCAATAAGAAACTTGTATGCTTTGCAGTGGTTTTATGGCCTCCTTCAGCAAGTGCTATGTTATACCCTATGCCAATATATGGGGAGGCATCAAATCATAGGTATGGCACTTTCTGTATTAATTATATGAATTCAAATTAAATGTCTTCTCTAATTATTTAATTATGAAAATTCAATGCTTCTATTTATTTACTCATTTATCTGTCTTTCTATCAATAAAGAGATCTATAAGCAGCCTTTCAGTCTTTTTATTTTTCCCTCTCGTGGCCTCTTGGCAGTTCCGTTCCTTTAGAGAACCCAGACTTTTCAAATTATCCAAGAGCACAATGTTTAATGGAGTACTCGCAGAAGGTTATTCTTCACGCAGGTGACGCACTTTTCATTCCTGAAGGCTGGTAAGGTTTAATATCCATCAGTGTTCATTAGGAGTCTTCTCTCTTTTCTTCCTTCCCCCTCCTTTTGTAATATATAACTTGAATGAAATACTCTTAATGGCTATTTCTGTTTGCCACAGGTTTCACCAGGTAGATAGTGATGATCTGACCATTGCTGTCAACTTTTGGTGGCGGTCCAACATAGTGTCAAACATGTCAGAACACATGGATGCATATTATCTGCGCATAATATTAAGAAGGTTTGTCGTAGAGTTTCTATTTTAGCTAGTAGGCGAAGCATTTCCAGAACAGCTAACTTGATTCTGTTTCTCTCTCATGATTCATTTACTTGTCAAATCCGCATTGAAAGATTGACAGATAAAGAAATGGTACATACTTCTCTCTCTCTCTGTCACACACACACACACACACACACACACACACACACACACTCAAACACACAGAGGTAGATATATATTTGTCTGTTTATTTAATATGGTGGTCATATTTTCTGTCTTTTCTTTCTCCCCACCCCCTTAAATCTTTGAATCAGAAGTTTATAATTGAGCACTATAAGTATATTTAATTTTTAGGACAGAACCGAGTGCTGCCTAAATCTTCTTTAGCTGAAATGGAGAACAAGAAAAAGCATACGTGTGTGGTGCTTAATAATGGAGGAGTAGGTCAGTATCTATAAGCTCACTGATAGATCATCATATATTTAGATTACTAGGTATTGCTTCATTCCAATTATTTATCAAAGAAAAGAAAGGGAATTTGTAGTGAATCTCTATGGCCTTGGAAATTCTTTCTGCTGACATCCATAACTTGATATGATACCCACCCAGATCAGAATGACAATGATTTGGATCAGGCATGTGAGAGAAAGGATCTTAAAGGGAAGGAACTAGAGCAAAGAACCGTGTCGCATGAACTGGAACCCCTCGCTATCCATGCTCTTCATGAACTTGTTTCTTTAGTTCATCATCGTGTTAATGCTGCTGAGCTAAGACAACAAGTGCAATCCACTTCAACAACTGATTCTGCAGGTAGTGTGAAAGATGAATTCACCAAAGTTGTGAGAGCAAATTCATTTGGTTTGGAAGATGACCCAGTTGCTAAAATTATTTGGGCTCTTCAACCGTGCACTTTGAGAAATGTATTTCTGGCCATGGTGGTGAGTTTGAACAGTTTTACTTTCACTATTAGCTTAAACTAGTAAATTGTAATAGGTTACTAGACTTTCATTTCATGTGAGATGTTCTTTGTTGATATAAAAAAGTGTGATAAAGCAAGGCATTTTCCATTAAGTAGGCATGTGTTGCATACGATGTAGTAACAGCTGAAGCAAAGAGCAGGTCTTCTTACTTGGATAGGGGAAAATTTTCATCTAGGACCTTCAATTTTATGGGTCGTCTTTATTCCCTATTTTGTCTATTATTCTGGATGCTCGTCCCTTGTGATGATGTCTCTATGCTTTTGCTAGTGAAAATTGTCCCATCTAACAGAAAAGTGAGCTTTGGTAGTTTCTCCTTTGAAGAGGCTTGACTGCTTTTTCTCTTGTTTCTGTAATTTTTTTTTTCTAAAGGGTGTGCGAGAATGCAGCTGGGCAGGACACCCCTCCTCCCCCCTTTTCTCATTTTAACCCTTGATTTTTAGTGACTTTCATAAGCTATACCCTTTGGTAACGCCGTCATGGCAAAATGGTGAGGGGACTAATCCAGCTGCTCTGATTAAATAGATTATTGTTTCTGATCAAAGATCTCTTTGTATTCTCAGCCACATTATGATAACTATATATTAGTAACTTAGTTTACGAGCTAGTGACCAAGCAACGTTTATATTATCTTTTGCAGAAAAATTTCCCAAGAACTCTGGAGGCTTTAATACTGCACTTGCTTTCACCAGTGGGAGCAGAAGTGCTTACACGTAAATTTGAAGAAATGGATCAACAGATCACTGAGGAAGATCGGTAATTGTTAATTTGTCGTTAAATCTTTTGTGAAAAGGTGAAGATCTGTATTCAGCTTCAATCTGCTATTCTTATTCATCACTTCAGGAACAGATTCTACCAAGTTTTCTATGGGGCATTTGACGACCAATTCGCTGCAATGGATGCAATTCTAAACGGGAAAGAATTATTTGCACTCCAGGTAATGCTGTGCATGTTGAAACATGTCTTTTGACACCAATGATAACAACTATTTCTGTCATCAAGTAGTGGAGTATAATGTGCACATACGGATTATTCTTGATTTGTTCCCATATTTTCGTGTTAGGTAGGTGGGTACTCAATAATGTTTGTAAGAAAAAATTGGGTAGGGGATAATTCGGAGCGTAAGATGTTCACTGGCT